GCCCATAATGACAAGTTCTACAGTGAGAATAACAATCTCTGAAAATTATTTTTTAATTAGTTTTTTTATTTGGGACTTCATTGTAATTCTCCCTTGTTTGGGGCTAGTAGGTGCTAGGTGGGGCAGGGCTTAGTAATTTATTTAATGAATTCTAGGAGATTGAATATTTGGATTCTTTGAATCGGTCCAGTACTTTTCAGACCAGTTTATGGCCCCGTATAAAAAAAACTGTTTTTAACTAATTGGTATTTTTGGTCCCGCTTAACTAATTGGCAATGGCATTAAAGGAATTTTGGGTTCATTACCTATATTGTTTACTTTCGTTGAAATTTCACAGACCCTTCATTTTTTAAAATCTATGCTTTAGTCTAAAACATTCACACAGCATATGTTCATAATTAATGATTGAGCTAAATCTATAAGAATTTAATACATATTTAATTTATTTTAATTTTTTTCTGAATTTAATTATCAAGATCTACTCGTATGGTTAAATTTTTTAGGCAATATAATATAAATGAAAAGGAAAATATGGAAGAAGATGTGGACTTCCCATGATGTTGAAGGGATGATGAGGTAATTAATTGTAATTTAAAGACTTACTGGCGAGAGGCATGGATCTTTCAAGGTGATTTTCATGGAGTGGTGATAGGACATTCTGAGAAAAAGAAGTTTGGTTATGCAAAACTCTTGAGCTTAGCTTTGCCAGACCTGAACCCTGATAATGCCCATGAAGGTGGGGATGGTGCAATGAATAAAAATGAGGACGAAGCTAAGAATCAAGCCTTTGTGGCCATCAGGTTGTCCCTGTCGTAATAGTTGCAGTCGCCTTCCTCCGCCATGCCCCACCCACCATTTCCTGCTTTATGATCCATGTCCTCTTCCTTGTTTCCATCATGTAACACGTATATACGCCTTGCATGGAATTTAAATATAGTGAGGTACATATAATATTAAGTATACATTGTTCTAGATGTATGTTGAAAAAATATAATGGCCATAAATGTCAAGTGCTTTTTTCGGCACTATGATAAGAAAATAATAATACTCCTCCGATTTTTAATATAAAACCTAATTATTGAATTAATTTTTGTCTTAAATAAAAGATCTATTATATCATATTTATTAATTTTTTTAAAAAAATTATTTTTATAGATACTCCTACAACCATAATCAAGTAGGAGATGGAAAAATATTAAGAAAATTGATTACAATATTTTTAAAAAAATATGTCATATTTTTTTATAATTAATTAATTAATCTAACTTTTTTAATAAAAATATGCGTCTGTCCTGGTTTGCTTTTGTCTCATTCCGGGCTTTTGGGGCCGGGTTGGACACATCCTGGGACAAACAGCCCTGCCTCTGATGACCACGCATAGCGTTTTTTTCTTTTTTTGATAAAACTACCCATAGCGTATTCGTTTTTAGAGAACATTCAAAAAAAAGAAAGCTCCAAGTGGAAGTGTGGAACACGTGGTGGAAGACGACAAATAAGGATGATATATCTGTGATGACTGATGATCCACAGGCTCTCCTCTCGTCGGCTCCTTAATTTCATTTGGTGAGTACACGTAATCAATTTAATGCTGTTTACAACACTTTTTAAAGACTAAAATTACAGGTTTAATTTAAAATTTGAGAGATCAAACCAAAATGAGTTTAAATTTTAAGGACAAAAAATAAGACCTTATTTATAGACTATAAATGAGGTCTTATAATTAGAACAAGAGATAGTATTAACCCATTTTAAATGTGCATCCCCTATGATTTTATCCTTTGAAACATGTGATTCCCCCTTACGTGAATTGGCGCATTTATATCAATCGGGAACTTCAAAAGCAAGCGTATTTATTGAGTCAAAATGTTTTCCGTAGAATAATTGCAATTTTAAGCTAAGAACTAGTCAATCCTTATGTTTTTCACCTTAGAACAACTTAGATCTTGTTTGTCATCAGGTGTAAAATCACTCATATCCACCTTTCATATAAACCGAGATAAAATTTCTCTCACATACTTATATCATATTTTTAAATGACGATTAAAAAGTTACTTATAAGTTACTCCAAAGCCCTTAATCCATAAAAATCATTAACCCAATAAATTAGAAAAATTAAGTTGTTGTGAACCATTAACTTGCAGGAGTGAGTTGATAATTGGAACAAAGTTGAAAAGGATTGATAAGAGTTACTTCTCTTGTATAGTAAAATAGAAATATAATAATAAGGTAAAATTTCACTAAAGGGGACATGTATTACTCAATATGTACTGCAAAATGATCATTAAAAATCATAAGTTGAGTAAAAAAAAGCAGTTAAGTAACTATTATATTCTCATTATTTTTTCCATTTTTTGTAATAAAAATAATATTATTTGACAATGATAAAAACATAAGAAATTAAATATGATACTAAGAGAATGACTAGGATTCGCAACCAAACAACGGCAACAGAACTTCGTTGTCGTCAAGTGAGCCCCCATTGGTGACACTGAGGGCTAAGTCTGTGAACTATATGCATACCCTTGTTATCAAGTTTGCCACTTTATCTTTGAGCCACCCTTTCCCTGCCATAAAAAGAAATTAAATTTTTAGCTTCTCAAAAATCCAGCATAAAAAACACATTCCAATCAATTTTGTTTACAAATTAAAAATTATCATTCTTAAAAATATTCTTGAGTTTCTCTCACGTATAACTGACGTGAAAATTAGGATGTCAAAGATGCTTTTTAAGTGAAATAATATAAAGGGATAAGGTGTAATTTTGACTCTAATCTTATTTCTCATATGCAATTTTGTACAACGTTGCTTCTAATCTTTTATTGGTATAATTTTTCTACTGATCTTATTTTTCAGGTGTAATTTTGTTTCTGATCTTTTTTTGATGTGCAATTTTGCCTTTGATCTTTGGATATAATTTTGACCCTAAGCATCCAAAGGGGGTCAAAATTACATTCAAAAAAAAGATCAGCGTCAAAATTGTATCATTAAAAAGAACAGAGACAAAATTACACTTGAGCAATAAAATCAGGAGTAAAATTGCACCTTAATCCTAATATAAATGAATAATTCATTAGATTGTTCATCTAATTATTCTCTCAATATCCCTGCAATCTGGAGTATATAGAAAGCTCGCCAACGGTAAAACTTAGGATAATTTTTTGTGTTTAGCAATAATTAGGAGTATTCATATTGTCGCCCGTTACACCCATCCAAGCCCGGTAAAAAAAAATCTCTAGCCCAGCCCCAAAAAAAATTAGGGCCTTTCGGGTGGGGCCACTTGCCGGTCATAACAGATAACTCTGTCGAATATTTTGCAGTTAGTGTTTATTTGGTTAATATAAAGCAGTTCTTTTCAATCCAAACAAGTGATTGTGAAGCTTATTTATCTTGTTTGGTTAAACTTTTTGAAATCTCAATCGTCATTTGTGCACATACAAGTTAGTAGTAATTATTTTTGTGATTGAAAAATCCTGATAAAGCTTCAGCGACAAGAATTTCTCCTATATACGCTTGTTGATAGTAATTGTTAAATTATAATTATATTCAAATAACATATTAAATTATATTTCCCATATCCACTCTCACTGTTTTTTGATAATTACATATCTATTTGTGATTTTAATAAATCGAATCTAAACATAATTAATATTCTCAAAGTCACTCCTAAAAAAAAGAATTCAACTAAAAATAAAAATTAATCAACTTCACTTTTAATTAGAGTCACTTATAAAAATCATGATTATATAAAATCATAGTTGTTTACTGCTGCTAATCCTTACTTAGAAACTAAAAAGACCAAAAATTATTAAGAAAAGATTATAAGTTGTCATAGCACAACAAACGGCTTCGCTTGGAAGCCGGAGACCGGATCGAATATTCTTTTTATTTGCAAACGTAATTTATGATCACTCACCCACAACTTGCAATTGAAAATTGTATCGGGCCTTATTATTAAAATAATGTAATACTTCTCCGGTCTTTAATGTAAGACCTCATTAAATACTTTCAGTAGATTAAATACATTGGTTAAATGATTTAATACTCCTCTGGTCCTAAATATTTAGAGATAGATAAAGTTAAGCCCAAATATGAACAACACTCGTTGATGTCAACAAGGAAGCCATTACTGATATATCCCCACCAATTGATGAAATCGCGCATTTGGCTATTGGGAGGAAAGACTGACACGTACAAAGGTGATATTTTGTTGCATATAAACAATATCTTATGTCGTGTTGATAACTCCGTTGGTGTGGCGACAATTCTTGACGGAGACAATTCTTCGCCTATGCATGCAAGGGTGTGGCGACAGGTTAGATCATCATAGTCCGCATACTATTGCCAAATCTTATTTTGCTTAGGGCATAATAAAATGAATTGGATCTAAAGAGTGAAACTCAGTTATCACCGCGCATATGTTGCGTCTCCCTTTATAAAGGTCAGGTTGTCTCCGCAAAAGGAAATAGGAAGGAAAAAAAAGGCCGAGAGCTATGGCAGAAAGAATATACTATCTCTATTCTTTAATATAATAGCTAATTTAACTTCCAATTTGATCCTAAATATACTACTTTATCTCTCATATTTATTTATTTTTTTCAAAGTAGCCATTATAATAGTTGCACATGTTAAATGTTCCATTGAATAGTAGTTCTAACTAACACATATGGTTCGTAAGAATATTTTAGGGAAGATAACACCTATTTATTATAAATAAATAACTTAAAAAACTTTCTTAATCTATCTAAATTAGTTAACTAGCTTTTATATTAAGTAACGGATGTCATAGGCGAATCTTAAGAGAAAGGAGTCATTGCAATCATACCAAACCGTTTTGTCCATATGTCGTACTGTTTTCTTCCTCCTTCTTGCTTCACCGGACGCGTGTACATGACTTTGGCCCAATTCCTTTGGGACCATTAGAGCATGTTGCCCTATATAAAGGCATGCATCTAGGTTTGTTTCCGCATCGATCAGCGCGTCACAAACTGAATAGTAAACAAACACTATGGCTCTCAAAGTTGCATTTTCTCGTGTTGTTTTTCTCCTCTCACTTGTCAGCTTCGCTGTAATGGCTGCATCTGTAAGTAATTGCTCTCTTGCGTTGGTCCATTATTAGTATCAAGCTTTTAATTTCCTTCTACGTACTTATTTGCTTACGTGTTTGTGCGTTTGCATGCATGCATGGATGAGCAGGAGGAGAAGTGCCAGTACGTTGTGAGAGTTAAGACAGGAGGTAGGATTAGTGCCGGAACGGACGCCACCATTAGCCTCCAGTTAATGTCCCATTCCAGCAATAGCTTGACCATCGCCAACCTCGAAGACTGGGGCGCCATGGGATCCAACCACGACTACTTCGAGAGGGGCAACGTGGACGTCTTCAAGGGGACTGGCCGGTGCCTCAATGTTTGCGCTATCACCGTCACCTCCAACAACTCAGGGTACAAGTCAGGGTGGTACTTGGATTACGTGGAAGTCATCGTGAGCGGCAGCGTATCTAAGGAGGTATCGTTCCCGGTGAACCGGTGGCTGGCCGACGACGAATGGCCCTATTCCCTCTCTGCCACCGTCGACGCATGCTCCAGCTTCTATCCGATGAAGCCCGCTCTCTCTTCTGTGCTGAGGGAGTAATTAGTTAATGTTTGCTATGTGTCTCGTTCCAATAATAATATTAATAATCATTACATCTCTGGGCTTATTTATGAGTATAAGTAGGCCATGAGGTTGTAATATGTATCTGGTTCTTGCTGGTGTACTGTCAACTGTGTTGTGTGTTGCGTAATAATATATGTTTACTATAATTTTATACGTTTTTGTTCTAAAATACATATTCCCACCCCGACCGAACAAACAACCACATTTCCTTCACCTTCACCCTGACGACAAAGGGGGGCATGCGTGAGTCTTTCGAATTTACCAAAATCAGTCCTTTTTTGCCATTATGCTGTCTTGGGTGTTTTTTTTAAACAAGAATTTCAGGTTCGTTTCCGTCTGATTCCGGAATTTTTGGGGCCGGGTTGGACCAGTCCTGATGAAGTAAACAGCCCCGCCTATGACTGCTTTTGGTGCTTATCGTTATGACGAAATCTACGTCATTTAGATATAATTTTAATATTGTAGATTTAAAATTTTTACCTAATGGTTTTCAAATACAAAAAATATTTTTTAAAAAATCTTCAGGCTTTACAGAGTCAGGGACTAATGGGACTGGGACTGAAAATAGTAATATAGAAAGTATGAAAAGATTACGTTTTTTTGGGATTATCTGCCAACTAAAAAAAATTTAAAAATAAAAATATAAAAAATTAAATCTCCACTGTTCATATCAAATTTAAACGATTGAGATTTGATAAGAATCATGTGGTAAGGGGAAAAAAATGCCAAATGAGTTTCTTCTTTTGTCGAAAGCGAACAGTTTGTTGTTATTCATTTTCACAGAACATAAACAAAAAAGGAAAGGGATATCTTCACTTCCCCTCCCCCTCCATTTCCTTTTACTTCTCATATTAACTGTTAAAATTACAATTTGAATGGTTCACATTTCATTTCATATAAAATAGTTTTATAAAATATTTTTTTATTGTTGTTTTAAATCATCATGGCTAAAATTTAGTAGTTTAATTTTATTTAATATATTTTTTTTAAAAAATCATTTTATTCCTAGTTATAGAATATGAAATCTAGACCATTAAAATTGTGATCTTATGGTGGAGATGGGAAGTGAAGGGAAAGGGAGGAAAGGGAAATGGAGACACCCTTCTCCCCTAATCTTATCCGTTCTTTAGCTTCATTTATTTATTTATTTATTTATTTTGTATAGGATCCCAATTCTAGTGCAACTCTTAAATTATTTGAAGATATTTTCATTGTCTGAATCATTATCAATTGAGATCATCTTTGACTAACTTGGCTTTTTTAATAATTTATTCGTCGGGAGAGGGAGGGGAAATTATTCTCTTCTCCTTTTCATACAACTCCTTATCTTAATTTTTTTAAAAAATATTTTTATTATTTTAAATTTTTCATTAAGTATTGATTTAATCTTTGAATTTTAATTCGGAGCTATCCAATTTTTGTAATTTTTTGACTTTAATATTTTCCATTTTCATTACTTTATCTAATCTTGAATTTTTAGTACTCCATTTTAATTAATTTGTACCAACTGTACATAATTACGTTTCAAGTGATTTTTAGGTGAAAATGATTAAATTGTGTGAATTTAATTGACTTGTAATAAAATGGGCATCTCTTATGATTTTATCCTTTGAAACAATGTTTCTATCTAATCATATTGTTATGTGTAGGTGAATTGGCACATTTGTGTCAATTAGACACTTCAAAGAGCAAGTGGATTTATGGAGTCAAAGTGTTTTTCGTAGAATTACACTTTTAGCCTTAGAACAAGTCATTGTTTGCATTTTTCAACTGAGAACAAATTAATTCATAGAGGTCATTAACTCAATAAATTAGAAAACTTATAAGTTGAGAGAGTAGATAATTGGGGGGGAAAAGGTTAAAAAGGATGGCTTAGAGTTATATATTGTTTTGTACCAGATGATCTGGTCTTTAATATAAAATTTAGTTTATAATTTAAATTTCTTAATACAAGAGCTAATTTGTTGTTCAAATTTCTTAATTTTTGATGTAACATTAATGACCGGAGGTAGTACTTTTTGTTTGAAACTTTGTAACTCAACCTAATTTACGAGCATATATCCACAATTTACAATAGAAAATTGTACTGGGGCCTTATTGTTAAAATTACAGTTTTAGGTTGCTGAGGAATTCACAATGCTCGTTGCTGTGAACAAGGAGCCATTATCGATCTATTTCCACCAATTGATTAAGACGCGCATATTTGGCTTCTCTGAATAAAGAATGACACGTACAGAGGTGATATTTTGTTGCATATAAATAATATCTATTGTCGTATTTAATTAACTCCCTTGGCCCAGTCTCTCCTCTTGACGAGACATAAAATGTAAATAATATTATAAATAGGCACTGAGGTAGTAATATAATATGTATGTTGGTGTCCTGTATTATTGTGTTTTTTTCACTTAGTATAGATATCTTATTAGAATCCTATTCAAAATACTTTTGGGCACTAAATGTGAGTACTTCTCCCAACAAAAATTTGAATATATTAGGGACGACTAGCCCCTATATCATTGCGTGTTACGTAATATATGTTTACTGTAGTTGACGTGTTATAATTTTATCCCTTGGAGTCTCATATAGGGACTCTCTTCTTTTTCAATTTTCACTGTTAGTTTTGTTTTGTTTAAGGAAAATATAAAAGAAAAAAAGAAAAAGGAAAAAAGAACGACCTTACTGTTTTAAAATACAGATTTCCAGCCTGCCAAACAAACAAACAACCACAAGGGGGCATGTGTCTTTTGAAATTTCTCATATTTCTCATCAAGTAAACTATCAACGCTACCTCCACTTCTTAATTTAATTTAAGAGCTAGATAATTAATTTAGAGAAATTAAAAAAATTAGTTAAGTTGATTAATTTAATAAATTGACGTTGTCCTAAAATACTTCTATCAATCATGTAAATTGAAATTACCCTTCATGTTTAACATGTGCAATTATCATAAGAATTACTTAAGGACAAAAGGAATAAATATTGAAGACAAAATAAATTGAGATCTTATACTACCTCCGGTCCTAAATATTAAGAGTTAATTGACTAATTTGAGTATATTAATAAAAAAATTTAAGTCAGTTATTTCTAATAAATAGGTGTTATCTTTCCTAAAATATTCTTGTTAATCAAGTGTGTTGGCTAGAACTACCATTATTAAAAAGACTACCTTAGAAAAAATGCATAAATATGGGAGACAAAGTGGATTGGGGTCTTATATTTAGGATCAAAATAAAAGTCAAACGAGGTCTTATATTAAGGACTGAACGTAGTATTTAGGACCAAATTGAATCTCCAACTAACTCTCATGTTAAGGACTAGAGGTAGTAAGTTATATTGACAACACCTCAAAAAGTTTATAAAATCATAATTATTTTAAATTTATAGAACACAATTAATTATATTATCATAAAAATATACTTTTTCTTCTTTTTGTTAGTTTTACTTTTGCTATAAATTCTTTTTATTAGTTAACTACCATACACGTAGGTTGGAAGCATGAATTGTGTCCATGACCTTGGCAGATGAAAAGCATGACGATTTTTCGGATAAAATTCTGAATCTTGAAAATTTAAAGGTAACTCCCAAAGGAATGACGAAACCACCAAAAATCATCAAAGCTTTTGATTTCTCTCCGTCAAATTCATCAGAAACGAGAGGTTCTAAATTCGCCCTATGCACAAATTCCACAAACAGATATTATAAACAAAAAAAAAAAAGAATCTTCTATCAATAGGACCTGTATTTTAATAGTTTTCTAGGTTTAATTTTGAATGTTTAGCAACTGAATTGATCAAAGCCGTATTATTAGATTTAATTGGCGCCAAGGCTTTACGTACGTTAGTTATTCCATTTTGTTTGAGTTTTTCATTCACTTTGGATTTTTTTTACCTGATTTTTTTTACTTTGATTTAACTTTGCACCGTACATTTTATTTACTTCGCTACCTTGATATTTTGTCAAAACAAACCTTTTTTTAAAAATCCAATTCAATTAGAATGCTGATTAAAAAATAGATTTTCAAAATTCAATTGTTTAGCTCCCTTTTTTTTCTTGTTGTCCGATGATAGAGGACTGGTGTTCAGTTTGACGCCTCTCTGTTTTTTTTTTTTTTCAATCCTCTTCCCTACTCTTTCTTTTTTAATTATTGGATTAATATATTTCAACCATTCAGATTTTAATTTGTATAAGCTATTGTTAAAAATTTTTTTAAATATTTAATACATTTGCAAACTATTAGAATTAAATTTTAATAGAATTTAGAATTTATTTTTTATAATTTAATATTTAATAATAATTTTAAAAATATTTCATTTTTAACTGTTAAAATATTAATTTAATGATTAAAAAAAAGAAAAAGAATGAGATGGAAAACAACAAAGAGTTTTCGAACGGGTGTTATATGCAAAATCCTTCTCTCCGCGTTGCGTTTTGTGGAAGACGACAAATCTCTCATTGTTGTTTATTTCCATGTATAGAAAGAAAACCGGCGTTTGGCTTCTTTGAACACTGACACGTACGATAGAGGTGATATTTTGTTGCATATAAATAATATGTTATGTCGCATTTAATTAAGGAAAAATGGCAAAAAAGACCACTAAAATAGAAAAATTGCACATAGGGATCAATTTATAAAAATTGTTATCAAAACCTATACTATTGTTATCAAAACCCATACTAATATTGTTATGGGTCCTTATTTGTAATTTTTCTATTTCGGATATCTTTTTTTACCATTTTTCCTTTAATTAACTCCCTCGGTCCCATCTTTGTTCTTGATGAAGACATTTCTTTCCATGCATGTCACTAAGAGTAGAAACAGATCATAACTATTTTGTAGCCTATCGACCCGAGTTTAGCTTGTAGCTTGTTACAGTCTTATTCTTTAGTTTAAGCTTGTCTTGTATAACGACTTGACCTGGCTTAAAGCCTATTGAAAAGCCTATATTTTTTTTAAAAAAATTCAAATTACATAGTGATATTTTTTAAAAAAAAAGCTAAGATTAAAAAAGGCGTACATAATAATTAATTTTTTAGTCTTGTCTTTTATTTAAATTTTAGTGTCATAAGTACTATTTT